CGAGGCTGTAAATCTTTACGGGAGCAGAAAGCCTCATCTTTCTCCCGCAAAACAGCTGGTAGTTTCGAACTGCTAACCTTGTGGTATTTTATTATAAATTATATTTTCACTTCATAATATAAATTCACAAGTATATATATTTTTTTCCTTCTTTACCTTTCCACAAGCCTAGGAGAAAGAATTGCCATTGTTGGAGATACGGAGTCAGATTGGCTGAATCAAAAATCTGATGATTATATTTGTCTTCTGTTTGTATCCAGAATGGGTGGTTAAGGGAGGCTTGAGATATTAGCAAATTTGTAATCTTCTTTGTTTCATTATTTCAAGAACAACTGTCCCCTCAACTGAGATTTTGTATCTGAAATCATTTAATAAAACCTATCTACTCTATGCGACCTCTGGTGTGGGGCTGTAGGATCAGCACTGGTCTGCAAACCACAAGGTCAGCAGTTCAGACCTACCAGCTGCTTCTTGGAAAGCCAACACAGGGTCACTATGAGTCAGACCCACCTTGATGGCATTTTAATAACAGTAGCAACAACAACAACAACATAGCTACACTGAGTAGGGTTTCCTAGCCTTTAAGTCTTCACAAGAACAGAAAGCCTCCACATAGTGGTTTGGTTCACGAGGTAGAGATACCTGACGGCGATGGAGATAGCAAAAGAGACACAGAGACACAAAAGAGAGACAAAGAGATGCTCTGAAACCAGAGTGAATTCTGGACTGGCATCAGGCAGATCCTGCATTGCAAGCATCTCAGCCATGAAGGCCGTAATATCCTGCATAGTAAACATCTTAGCTAAACAGGCAGTATGGTTGCAAGGCTGGACTGTGCCCCTGCATGCTGTGCCCGCACTGCCTGCAATGCCATCAAAAAGCACCTGGATTCGTTCTGTGCCTCCTTTTATTTAGGGCAGGTACTTTACACAAAGCTAGGAGGGACTAAGACAAGATACAGCTGTCAATCTTACTTTTCCAAACATTCAGGCAACTTTACATCATACTTCGCAGGTTCGAATCTCACGACTGCAACTTGGTTTCTCAAGCTTAATTAACATACCTTTTAGCACCTAGCCTCAAATGGAGGGAGGAAAGGGACGATTGGGAGGATTCCCATTGTGTCAGCTGCCCAGCCCAGGTTCTTCAGGAAAAGAGGAGCCTGGGTGAATAGGCAGCACCTGGAAACACTTTAGGGAGGGCATTCCTATTGTCCTTGGAACAGACCAGGGAGCCACCCAATTTACCTTGAATGAATTCTCTGAGGGAAGAACTTTG